GGGGGGGGGGGGGGGTCGATACTCTGTCCCTCTGGCACAAGTTTCAACACCATGGGGATTTTTCAAGATTCTACGGAGACGAAGACATTGAATGTTTCTTCGGTATTTTAAATGAATTGGTTCATTGACTATCTACTTGGTGGATTTTAAGTCATGAGCTCTGTCGTGTCATCAGCCTCGATCTCCTCAGGCGGCTCAACGGTCACCGACAGCTTTGTGTAGCCAAGGCTGGACTCTCTTCGTCTGGACACGGCCTGAAATTAATTTCATCGGGTTAGAGGTGATTATAAAAATGTTGAGAACAATTTGAAGAAAATTTTATCATGTTTTTTAACTCTTTGTTAGTTTGAGCTTAATCCAACAATAATTTTGTGCATGTTTTGATCTGTTCACTCATTTATTTTGAGTTCCAAGTCTCCGAATAAAATCTTTCATTTCATTTCAATAAAGATTGTTTCCGTGGTATTGATTTTCATGGAATGAAATAGTATTCAAAATCCAATCTCCTTGTTGGTCGACACATTTCAGTGTCACCCCATTAAATTGTTTAGACTGTTTCCTAAAAATGGTGGTTACGTGTGGCAATGATTACGTTGTTAGAAAAAAAATGAAATTTCATGGACAGTTGAGTACTAATTTTCAGGATAGTGACACTGAATGCGATTTAGGGGAAAAAATCATGAAATTTCAGATTTAAGTGAAAATTCTGTAAAATTCCAGAATTTTAAGCAGCATAAAGATGAGAATTTTTTTATTCATTTGAATTTCCGATCTAATATGAATATACAGTGCCAAATTATATTGACTTTTCAGTGAAATCTGAAATTTCATTTTTTAAAATTCCTGGAAATTTTACTGGTAATTAAATTCTATAAAAATTTCCAAAAAGTGTACCGGAAATTTGAGATAAAATTTTTTGACACTGTAAGTAAATAAAGAACATAATCAAAGGAAATGTTTGGAAATATGAAAATATGATGAAAATGAGTGAAATAAAGAACAGAAATATAAAGGAGTATAAATGGAAATTGTAAAGGTAGTGAAAGTATTCAGTGTGTAATTAGAACCCTAAGAAAATAAAAGCAAATGTTTTTGTAAAAAAACAGCGCTAAGAAAAAGTTTGGTTTGGTTCTTACTGCCCGGGGATGCAAGCAGCCACTTAAGTTAGGTGGCTGTTAGGTGGCTACTTGTTTAGGTGTAAAAAAGGGTAAGTGATACCTGAAACGATTATGGATGTAAATCTATGAATTATTAAGGAATTTTAGTAGCTTTAATGACATTAATCTCCAATAATTAAGGAAAATAACAGTTTGCGTATTGAAAGGGAAAATAAATCAGTAGGGGGAGGTGAGGGGGAGGGGTTTGAGATTATATTTCTACAAAATTTATCGCCCCTGGAAACATGCGGAGATTTTTTATAAATT